GAAGCCAAAGACCATTTTTCGCGCTGAGGAAAGAGAATGGATGACAGAGGCACGTCTGGATAACTCAGGGTTTTTGAGACATTCCCCTGGGTGGGTATTCACGGATGAGGGTTGACTTGGGGTGAAGAAAAAGCCACCATAACTTCGCAGTGGTACTTGCAAATGAAATCCGAGGCATGAGTGCTCTTCCTTGACGATGAATCATCTATTCTGTACTCTTCCTTGATATTGTGTCATAGCTAGATAGCTGCACACGCAATTAAAATCTGATGCAAAAAAAAACCGAGTAATTTTCGCTTGTCAACCGTAGCATTCGCATAATACTTAATCCGAACGTATCGTAGTCAATTATTCTACAGCTACAGCACGTGGCAAGAAGCCACAAACACCCACCTGTTCTGAATGGCCGTTCGCACAAGGTCCTGCAGCGCTCTCGGGGCTTTGAGCGAACCAATCGACGTGTAGCAAATGACTCCTGTCGTACCAATGCCTGTACTGGCCGTGTTCGGCGTTACCCGTATGTTGACCCGCCACTAGTTATCTCCAAAGATTCGTCTCCTCTTCTCACCTGTTATCAGGCGGTTACACAACACTGTGGCCCAAAGTGGCTTTTGATGACAACTCTCTACTTTAGGCTTCACCTCAATTCCCGACATCGCTTCACCGTCACGGTGTGCCAGGTGTTGGTAGATAATCATTTCGAGAGAACACGAATTGGCCTCATCTGCAGAAATATACACCTCATCACTCAATATAATTCCTGTGATATGGCCAAGACAGACCCTGTGTATTTCCAGACTATATATCCGTAACTGCGTGATTTAGTGCGGTGTCACGTTGGAGTTTCATTGACCAGGCAAACGCTGGTGCCCACATATCATGCATTGACGCCCTAGTGGTGATCAATCATGCGCCATACATGCCAGACCAAGGCGTGTAAGCTAACATAGACTATAGCAAGTATCCATTGTATCCATATGATATTCAGCAGAAGCCTAGTCTCTTAAGCCTTCCGATAAGACTCTCTGACGACTGCTGCTGCCCGTCGCAACAGCGGTAATACGCTCTCGTTTTCTCATGTCAACTGGGCTGATACTGTGAGGTAACTGGCAGCCTGATCTGTGACATGCAAAGTGTATGTAATCGAAGGAAAAGATAACTCGGTAAAAACAACTTGATTCCGGTTTCTCCCGGTATTCTAGGACTATGTACACTGATCATGATTGACTTGATCTCTTGATCTCTAAATATAGACATACGCTCGGATTAGAATAACCTGTGGTTCTAAATACAGAATACAAGCACTGACCGAACTAAACAACCCACGTACGTATGGACAGTCCTATTTTTGACTCAAGACATTTCCCTGTCCAACTTCTCCGCTGGTTATTCTTAGTCTTTGACGGATTGCGCTAGATCATGCATAGGTGGCCACGTAGAATACTGCGCCTGCCCTGCATGGAGCTGCACCTACATCTCTTCAACAGGGTAGCTAGGAAGGAATTTTCAGATCCACATTTAGCTACAATACTGGGGCGTAGATAACGACGCTTCATACGTACATGATTGATGAAATGATGCTCGTCAATATCATTTCCATACTATGATGAGCCTTTTGAACTAAGTGAGAGAAACTCTGGCTCTCCCAAAAAGAGAATTGCTGAGAGGATATACTTCAATGTACGTTGGCTACTGTAATTAAATTTCATTTTAATCGATAGTCAGTGCCCGATTCCTTCACTATCACATTAAGTTATTCATAAAAATCATATTTTTCGGAGTAAAAGCGAACACGACTTAGCCTTGCATTCCCTCTCCCAACCAACCCTCCATATCTCCGCCTGTTTCCTTGTCAGAAACCTAGATATATCTATCAAAGCCATAATTGATTTTCCACAGTCGCCAGCAGACTTGTTTTGTTTTGTTCATTAACGTGCTAGGTTACATGACTACCATTGCACTCCTATTGGAGCTTAAGCACGAGTGGGATTGGGCCGGATCAGGTTAACTACCGTGAAGTACAGATAAATCTCGTCCCATTTTAATGACCGGACCACCTCAGACTTCACCTATGTGTTGAATCATACCAAGCCTGACCGTCCATAAACCCGCAGTATACATGCCGTAGCGCAATTTCCTCCTCAGCCTCGGCCACCACGCGCCCGAGCCCTTGACATCCTCATTGACTCCGAGATATAACTGCCGTCCAAGATCTCATCGTTACTCTAGCCTTGCACCTTCATATCGTACTGCTGGGTTGTCTTCGTCATTGGGGATTTGTGTAATCCCCTCGGTGTATCTTCCCTCTTCTTCCTCCTTTGTACACGTCCCGTTTCCATTATGACTTTCCTCATTAGGGCGTGTGTAGGTAGTTGATCGGACGAGTATGGAGGTGGGTCGCAGGTGTAGGATCGACTGAGAAATGCTTCGTCGCAAATATATAAACAGTTTTAGAAATATCGGATTTCTGAATATGACTCCCAGACAGACCTTGGCCCATTCGTGAATCGTATGTTGGTGGGGATGTGTTCTGGTTCGACTTTTTTGCGGTTGTGAAATCTCTGTCGACTGATGTTACGACCAGAATACCGAGTATAACTCTTTCTGGCCGAAAATCCATCAAATAGCATCCCACCCCTTTTCGTGACTGAATCTCGGCTCTGGGAGAATATTTCACTTCCAGGTTCGTAGAGGACACCACTGAAAGGTGTTCAGCCTTCGTCCTCCGCCAGCAACCTTGTGTCTCACACGCAAGTCAAATTTAGCCATCAGCTTTCAATCATCATCATCGATGAACCATGTTTCATGGACATATTAATAAGAGGACTATAATGCCAGATAGCCCCGAGTTCGTCACTTTCCAAGTAGGTTCCTGATGGGCATAGTTGGAGTATATCTGTTGAACTTACTCACAGAAGCTTTCCATGTGCAGGATAAAATCCAAAAAGTCGGTGAGGATTCAGTTATCCCTGAAAATGGGGTCTCCTTGTAATATTACAAGGCAGGAATTCATATCAGAAGCCCACTATTCAATCTTGATACAAGGTCGTCCATAGGTCTATCATCTAAGCAGCGCCAGCCAAGCTTCTGAGCTTCAGTGGAACTGGAGCCCTCATTGATCAAAGCGGCTCGGAGAAAATCCTGAATGCGGAGGTGCACGGAGCCATGACTGCTCTTGAGGCCATCACTGCCAGGAAATACGATGAGGGTCACAGCGCCATCTACGACCTACTTGACAATTCCACGACAGTCGAGGCACTACTGACGGGAATGACTACCTCATCATCCAGACGGGTACAAAAGTTCTGGAAGATGGCCGCAAGAGCAGCTGTTTCCGTTAGAGTAGGATGGATTCCTAGACACCCAGGGCTATCAGGAACCGAGGCAGCGGTAAGGCTCACTCGAATAGAGCTCAACTCGCCAGATAACGCGAGGACGATTTATGATAGAATGACCCTCGCTTCGTTGGGACGCAAAGCTCGCGAACTGACCAGGCAAATGCTGACGGACTGGTGGCACTCGAACCGCCCCAAACGCTACGCCAACCTCGAACTCGAGATGAAGCACAAGAAGCCGCCAGAACTATTGCTCGCGAGAGCAGCCTACACTCGCCTGCTCGCTGCTCGAACAGCACATAGTAAAAGAGAATCTAGCTTTAATATCCCTACTGAGTCTACGACTATGAAGGATTCTAGGCACGGTAACTTAGCGGCATACCACCATCGCCTCAATCATGCGACAGCCATACTTTACTGTGAATTTGGCAGGGAAAACTCAATCGGTCAACTTGTCCGGTGTAGAAGAGCACTGGCGAGTGAAAAGTGGAAGATGTAGGGCATTGGCGCTGGAAGTCCTTATCTGATTAAGAAGATGGCGCTTGTTCATGGGTTACGCGAGGAGAGTTTAATATACGTGGTGGCTAGTCGTGTAACGGTGGGGATACCTGCGACTGGAAGGTCATAAATCAATAGCTTAGATGGTATGGCATGGAGAGAGAAATTGGAATCGAGGCTCGGGTGTATAGTAGTTGAAGCAGAACAATATAAGGCAGATTTTTATGTTTTTCTTTTTTTTCTACTCTGAGCTGCTAGACTCGCCATGATTTAACACAAGGACGCGTTCCGCCATGGTTCCTGTCATGTAGGTGGGACGATGCACACTTGTACTTCATGGAACTAAACCTGATCCGGCCCGGGCCCACTCGTGCTTAGGCTGCAGTAGGAGTGCGATGGGTATCATATTACCTAGCACGTTAACATACAAACAGGCTTCTGAGCTTTAACAGGAGAGGACGCCGCTTTGGTAAGCTTTCGTAGCTCTTTCTTGAGCACAACAAAGAGACGCGAGTTCTGGCTATTGAAGGAGCCGAAAATGTGCTACAAGGAGATGTCCAAATACCGCGAGTCATGATACTGAATATAACATGATGTATTTGGTGAGCTGATGATATCAAAAAGTTTGTGGGATTAATAAAATAAAGTCTTCAGTTGGCGTAGTGCTTGACTACGTAGTTGGGACAGGCTAAATTGCTGAGACAAATCTAGACTTGTAAAGTAAGGAGAGCGTCAGAGAAGCTCCTCAAAGCTCTCAAAATTCTTCCCACATCATGTGTACCAGGGAATACCCCAATGTGATGGGAAGTGAGAATTCTGAAGATTTCTTGGAAAAGCCAATGTTTTTACCCTGCAATTAGAGGGCTTGACCCTCACTGTCCATGAGAACATAGTTAAAAATTGTAATATTGGAAAGGAAATAATGTAGCTAGTATCTTATATATAGATTCTAGGAGTCCTCTATAGTTATTGACTCAGTTAGGACTATAATATAAATCTAATCTAAAAATCTAATCTAACCTACCCCGCAAATTAGGACAAAGGCAGGTTGAAGAAGGAGAGATATCTTGGGAGCCTTGTTATCTTCTCTCTCTCTCCATTCTTCTTCTACATTCCTTCCATCATTCCCTCAATCATTCCCTCAGTCCCTCCGAAATAATACAAATCATGACAGCTTCAAACGCTTCGCCTCTAATCCGAGTCCTAATTACTATGCACCCTGGAATTGATACCCTAGACGTCACGGGACCTTTAGAAGTACTAAGCCTAGCTAACAAGATTATTAATAAAGATGGTAAGTTTCTGCATGTAATTATGGTATTTCCTGTTCAGTTGTCTGTTGCTTCTTAAAAAACATTCTTCACCTTTAGGCAGATGATTCTTGGTACTCTGGAAGTCAAGTACTAGCTCACAATATATTTCAGCGAATCATGCCTTTGAATTTAAGTTTGTTTCTGCTACCAAACAAACCAAAACCGCACAGGCTATTAGCCTCCAGAGGAATATGAATTATAAACAGGCTCATGCCAGACTTTCCACCTTTGATATTCTCATGGTTCCAGGCGGAGGAGTTGAAAAGATTATCAGGGATGAATTGGAGCCCCTCGGTCTCATCAAAGCCTTTTCAGACCTTCAAAAGAAAGATCCTTCGAGGGAGCGCACAATTTTTAGTATCTGTACTGGCTCCCTGCTTCTCGCACACCAAGGTCTTCTCTCGGGACTCCAAGCCACGACCCATCCTGATTTCTTTGCAAAATTCATCAAAATCGACAATGACGCTGCACTGAGAGGTTTGAACGAGTGCTGCGACGTCGTTGAAGAGCGCTATGTCGTGAATAACTTACGCTTTGATGCAGGTGAAAAGATCGACAAGAGCCCACATGTTTCTTGTACGAGCGATTTCGACGAGCAAAGTGTTTCCCCCCGAGGCCATAGCGTGCGCCAGGAATGCGACCAACCGCGAAAAGACACTTCTCCACGAGCCTCCGGTAGGCTTAGAGGGTTGAGAGTTATAACTTCAGGCGGGATAACGTGTGGAATCGACGCAAGTTTGTACTTGGTCAGGACACTGGTTAGCAGCGAAACCGCTGTAGAGGTTGGGCGTATCATGATGTACGAATGCAAACAGGGTATTATTGTTAGTTGAATAAATATTTGGGGTGGCTACTCCAAGAATGTGTTGATTGATGGATATGAACTATTTTTGTACCAGCCTATGCATTGGTTTTGGTCATTTACTTGGGACAAGTGAATTTATGATCTTTCCCATCTTTGACAAATAATCATAGACATCATACCATGTCACGCTGCCACATTCTTCATGGGCCTCGGGTTACAATTTTCTCCCATGAGCGCTAGGCTTGTGACTCTGTCTTAATTCATTATGAGTTGGGCCGCCCGGCCCATTTCTGGTTGGACTATCTTAAAATCTGGGGCAGCATGAGCGCAAAGTAGTTAGGAATGAGGTGGATGGGTATGAGGTTGGAACTTTTGTAATATGACGACAGGTCAGCCTATCACAAACATATGTCGGAAATGATATTTATTTTCTCATTAAAAGGAAAAACGTCCATTCGGATTTTGCCAAAGTTATAATGCAGCGCAATGCGTCACACAGTGGACCCTAAATAAGCAATTACACGATCTTAACCAAATTAGGAATGTGGCCTCGTGGTAGCCTGATAAATGAGGCATCCACAGGTGACGACATGCTCTCTTCAATGATGGAGGTGAGGGCGGTCTGTTCTGTGTAGACAATACACCACCTGGTACTATTTGCGAGTGAAGTCTAGAGTTTGAGGGTCACTACATTTGAAAGGGCCATCCAACGTGTAAAATAGCAGTGATGATGTGTCGTAGCTAGATAGCTGCATCCATTTGACTGGTACTTCAAAACGATGATACGTTCACTGCTCTTCGCTCACTCCAACATTCATGTATGTAATCCAGCGAAGCTTTGGAGTTGTCGGTTGAACCATGTATTGGTTGTGAGTGCAACTAGCTAGCCGTGACGCGGGGTCAGAGATTGAGTACTGAATGAATGGCCCGATTTAAACATACAGCGCGCGTGACTCTGATTCATGCTGCAAGCACCACCAGGAGTTGTTGTGGCCTGAATACAACATGAATTTTTAAAAAAAAAGAGTTATGGTGGCTTTTCTTCATCCCAACTCAGCTCCCATCCACGAATTACCCCCCCCGGCGCAAGGGGAATGTCTTGAGAACCCGGGATTATCCTGACAGACCTTCATCACCCATTCACCGGTCTCGGCACGAAATATGGTCTGAGGCGTCTCCTTGATAGGTGGAGCAGATTCCTAGGCTTCTCCAATTGCGCCAGAGGACTCCACCAGGAGGCGAAAGCTATGGTCCTTGTGCCCGCTATATCTTGTGACCAAAGCATTTACCTATCATACGCAATATGTCTTGACATGGAGGCAGCCACAAGCAACAAAAGAGCGCGAATAGCAGTCTATCGTTGTCTCGAGCAGCGGTTGGGCGGACGGAAGAGCACCGAGAGGGCAAATCTTCCACGAACATATTCAGCGGCAAAGATGCTAGCGTGAGATTCTACCGGACGCTCCAAAGTGTAGGCATCAATACCATCGGCACAAGGTGTCTGAGAAATGGATGCTGAGGTGTGTTGAAGTCGGTGCTATGAATACCGCGCCCCCAACGTGGAACTCAAGAAAGCTAAGTCATTTACCAACTAGATCCACGTCTGCTCATACACTGGCCAGCCGCTGACTGCTTGTTGTCTGCGAGGTTTCGTGATCTTCGATCGGGTGTAAATGTCTGAGTGTATGAATTTCTGATTCCACGTGGCCTTTACAACTCTCGCCATGTTCCTCTCTCTTTGGTTTCCACGAGACCGCTTCATTCGGTGATGGTAATCAGGCGTCTGATCGTTCAAGCTTTGCTACCATCTCCATTGTCTCTATTGTTCTACTCGGGGAAATGGCTATCTAGCACTCGGGGCTCCTCTCCTCCCTTGTTCCGTGAAACATTTCTCATATGTTGCCCATGATGGGAATCCCTGGAACTGCGGCACTCTCTCCACCGAACCTTTTACCGACGAAAAAATGTGAAAAAATGTGTGTGGAAGAGAGTCAGTAGGTCTGCAGCCTCAGCCAGGCGAGTCCTAGACACTGGGACCACATGAGGTGCGCATATTCATCTATATCCCCCTTCTTTGTAACAATCGAGGCCGACTTGATCCAATCCACCATCTCCATATCGGGTGCTGAGTACGCTCCGGAAACTCATCAGATGGCTTCTACCCTACCATCTGATCTTATCGTGGTTAGCTTCATGATAATGGTGATAGGAGGATGTGCTTAGGGATGAAGCCGATATAGGCCGCGAAAGCAACTAGGAATACTCGTCGAAGTGAGGACTATTTTTACCCAATCTCGGCTCTGCAGTCTCTACAGTGAGAGCTGGAGGTTCGTAGGGGACACCACTGACAGGTATTGAGAAAAGTCCCCCCGCCTTTAAACGCGCCAAGTACCCATTTGATGCCGGGGCAAGGATGTCGAAGTCTATCGCGAGGACGGGCCCAATTGCTTCCTATACTGCATAAGAAGAAGTGACCAGGGCTTTTTCTTCGCCACAGGAGCGAGTCAGTAGAGCATCTTCTTGTGCGAAACTTCGATTGTGTAGGGCAAAATCTCCGTATACTGAACGAGCTGCAATAGGCGCTCCAAGTTTCCGTTGATTTAGGCCTTTTATTTCTGGGTTTTTTCCTGAGCTAGGAACAATTCCGAGTTCTTTATGTTGTAATTAAGGGTGTAACATGACTGCATTATAATAAACTGTTCACATTAGAATAATGTGCACATGCGCCATGAGATGTGATTGATCTAGATCGTCACTCACTGTTTTGACATAGAATTTCCCAATAGATTCCGAGAGGGTACAAAAGAAGTTGGGTTAAGCTGCCGAACGGCAATCACACTCTGTCAAGACTTTTCTGACATTTCAGCACGACCTATTGTTGGAAATTCAGACTTTATGTGTCTGAAGCGTCCCCATGATTGGAACAACTAAGATTCTCACACATGACTCACAGCCTGACTCATGACCTAGATGATTGATGTCTCCTCATACTAAGCATGTTTGATGCTTGAGACTCGACTAGTGCATGGTATGGTCTAATACTCGTGTAAGCTTTCATCTACCGACCCTGACCCCAAACTCATGTTGTATACTGTCGTGCGACTCATTGTCATTGTTAGATTATGGAACGAGTGATGGATGGTATCTAGTTCGGATTTGGTCTATCAAGTATACATGTATACAAGCTGTCTAGGAATCACCAAGACAGATAATCTAATCAATTCAATTCATTCATCCCATTTTTTATTTCTCCACAGTATATCACATATTTGGGAGGGAACGAAACGATAGAATCGAAGCGGAGTTGAGTTATTCCAAGTGGCAAATGTTTGTACTTTGGCAACTGGAACATGCAATAAGATCTAGGTGTAGATCATTAGCAAAAGCGCTAGGACTCATGTTGCCCCTGTAAAGCAAGCTGTATATAGGTCCTGCCCACCTTGAACCTCTTTCTAGATCTGTAGTAAATCTTTTCATCCTACGGTTTATCACCACGAGCATTCATCGCCTGAAAATTTCCTCCCGATTCATATCATTATTACTATATTCATAAATCGCGCCCATATTCTTTGAGCCGCCTTACTTATCAAACACATACCGATTTTCCAACACCTAGGGAAGGAGGCTCGAAAGGCAGAGAGTGGATTTCCCGAGGTACTCACAAGTCTACAGCGCCTAGCTGGCCGGCCTCTTCGAACGCTACAGAAGGGTCAGTATGTCTTCGGATTTAGTCCTCATCTCTGTATTAGGGGAGCTCCGCACCCAGCGGCTCTTTCGATTTTTCCCGGCTGCCATACACCCGTAAATGGCCATCGCTTAGTTGGCTGCAGAGGGGAGATAATGAAGGATAAAGGGCTCCTCTAAGTGTATGATCCAGTGAGGACTTGTGAGAGGTGAGACTGTTTGAGAGGAGCTATGTGGGAGGCATAGGAGGGGATATACTACTGGCATAGATATCCTTGGCCTGTAGGTCCTACATAATAATAGACTCAGACAGGACAATAAAATGGAGTAATCATAATGATAATAATAATCATACTCACTCATCTTTTGAGTGGGAATTCGCATGAATATTTCTTTTCTTTTACCCTGGGATTCTGGATGCGCTATGATTGAGCACATTGATGCGTTTCCGCGTGGTTTCGATTATTTGGTTGGACGGCGCATACTTGTGCTCTTTATCATCGTTAATCCGATCTAACTCGACTCCAAAAGGCGTGCGATGGGTGTCATTTACCTAGCACAAGAGTAAACTAACGAGCACAAGGGAGCGGTTTGAACGTCGTCATATTGAAAGGCACAGAGATACTTTGAGAAATATTCAAAGTAGTTTCGATCGTATGTCTTCCGAAGATCTACTCTCACTGGCTTATGTAAGCCCGAGCTCATGGTCAAGTATTCCAGCATTTCTCCTTGACCTATCAATAATAATCGAGTGGAACTCATTGTGTAGGAAAAAGTATTCCAATTCAATCTCATAAAAACTACAACACCTAGAACCGCTTGTACGGAGCGCGTATAGAGAAAATAGATGGATATGGTTTGGGAAGCCTGCTCAATGCGCGCACGTAAACAAAAGGACGAGAGATACTCAAAATTCCGAAATCAACTTCAGTAAACTTGAACTTAGCGCGCGTGTCAGGGTGAGTGACGGATGAGGTGGGGATCGGCGTCTGCTACAAGTATCCTAGTAATGACTAGGCGGATAACTGCGAGAGGATATACCTGAGAATGGATATGGGTGGTCGATGGAACTGGCGAGGTGGCAGGAGATTGGGACTGAGAGACGAGAGGTCGAGCAAGTAGTAAGATGTTTGAGAAACTCGGACTACAGAGATATCAGATTGAGAAGCTGGAGAACTACTTTGAGGTAGCTTCAGCTTCCTTGAGTACACTAAACTACCCACTAAATTTCAACTTGGGCTTTGGCAAGATAAGATCAATACTCCAGCTGTCCAAGTTTTCCCGGAAACTTTCTCGTCTAACCTTTTCCCCGAGAAACTTCTCTTAAACTCTTGTCCTTTAGCCTTATCCTTGAACCTTCCTCAAGGATGTCTGGCCGTAGCAGCGCGCGCAAAAGACTGTTGTTTCGACGCGTAGGTTGAAATTATCAAAGTTCTGGAGGCACCTGGAATGAAATAAGTGAAAGTCGACAGTCTAGTCAATGCTTGAAGAATTGTAAGATATTGGGGATTTCAGGAAGACAAAAGGTTAGTATCAGTGTGGTTTTTGATTTTTTAATGAACCTGTATTTCTGAAAACTCTAGGCTTTTAATCTACATCTATCTATCTGTGTTCTACCACGCGTAGGCAGAAACATTGTGTTCTGATTACGCGATGGAATAACATTCCCACTACTGATGTAACGGCTTGTAAGCCGATTGGTCGACATCAATGCGCGGATATATGATGCCACTGAACAGAATTTCAAGGCAATGGCATCTAGTTTGGCAGGGCAGCACTATTGGACCATACAGCTACAACACATTGAGGTGTTACCACAAGCAGGGTCAACACATGCGAAGAATTCCATTGTATGTGAGACAGGGAGGGACTGTGCCTCGCAAACACACAGACTGAATATATATGTACAGATAGAGACCGAAGTAATTCTCTCTTCAGAATGATAATTTACACACTTTCCACCACATAATTACACCAGAAGGAAGAAGGCTGAACACCTGTCAGTGGTGTCCTATACAAAGCTGAGAGTGAATTATTCTTCCATAGCTGAGATTCAGTCACGAAAAGGGGTGGGATGCTATTTGATGGATTTTCGGCCAGAAAGAGTTATACTCGGTATTCTGGTCGTAACATCAGTCGACAGAGATTTCACAACCGCAAAAAAGTCGAACCAGAACACATCCCCACCAACATACGATTCACGAATGGGCCAAGGTCTGTCTGGGAGTCATATTCAGAAATCCGATATTTCTAAAACTGTTTATATATTTGCGACGAAGCATTTCTCAGTCGATCTTACACCTGCAACCCACCTCCATACTCGCCACACTACCTACCTACACACACCCTGATGAGGAAAGTTATGATGGATACGGGACGTGTTCAAAAGAGGAAGAAAAGGGAGTGTACACCGAGAGTATACCACAAATTCCTGATGACGACATCGACCCAAAGTTACGATGTGGGTGTGCAATGCCAAAGCACCGATGATACCTTTGGATATTGTCAAAGCAGCATGGAGACAGCAGGACGGTGATGTGAGTACTAGGAGGGGTGATCAGTCTAAAGGGTGCCATCCTACGTACGCATGAGATAGGTGCACAACTGCTCGGCCAAAAGGCCAAAACAGAATTGTAAGCGCTAGATCCGGTTATGTCCAGATGTATAGATTATACAGAAGACAATCCTGACAACTACTTTTACATTTCGGAGTCAATGAGAATGTCAAGGGCTCGGGCGCGTGGTGGCCGAGGCTGAGGAGTAATTTGTGCAACGGCGTGTCTACAGCTGGTTTCTGGACAGCCAGGCTTGGTATGATTCAACACAGGTAATTCTGAGGTGGTCCAGTCATTTCAGTGGGACAATGCATCCTTGAAATAAACGATAGTTGACCTGATCCGGCCCGGCCCCACTCGTGCTAAAGCTCCAGTAGGAGTGCGACGGGAGTTACTTTACGTAGCACGTCAATGAACAAACAAACAAATATAGTTGCACCAGCACCTGTTCCTTGATCTCTGAGAACCAAAATCATTACTAACCAAGACCTCACCAAGGCTGGCAACGATCGAAGAAGAGTAGTCTTAGTCTGCTCCGTACTGCGTGTAGTTCGGTCTTGTTGTTAGGATTATGAGCACATACGGGTTGAATCTTTACCTTGGAAAGATACTATATGTGTTTGTAGGACACCAACGTAGATATCGAAAAGACTTATGTTAACTGAAGAACGCTTGTATTTGGATGACTTATTCTTACACCTACTGCTAGGAGATACATCTCATAATATACATGTCTTGGATATCCATATCACAGTTCCTACACTATCCAGTACATTCCATTCCATTACAAACCTAATACACCCCAGTTATGGGTTGCCCTCAAGTCCATATCCTTGGACTTGCATGAAATATTGGCATGAATAAATCTGCACAGACCTGGGATCTCTTGGCAGATTATAACACTTGTTAGTCTAGATTTCAACATGAATGGAGTACCCCGGTATTATATCTCCTTAACCTTTAGTCAGTATGGAACTGCATCTCTTCAATTTTTTCAGATCGAGGAATAATAGAAAAATGACATACTTATATAAAAATAATCTCTTTGTTATAGTTTTGGTGCTTTTATTCTCCAATATTACCGTCAGCTCGCTCGAAGTGGATTCCCGATATAAAGCAAAACAAGTTCCCACGTCTCCTTTTGACCTCTTTCTCCAAAAGAATTATTTCTCCATCACCATCAGTACTTTTAGTGTTTTCATCAGTTTGTGTCACAACAATGGCAAAATCAAGAAAGTCAAGCACATAATGACCACTTTTGGCCAAAAAGTTAGCAATCAACACTCCATTCCGCACGTTGGGATAGAGACTCGTTTTCAGATGCCACGTTTTTTTTTCTTTGTTCTGTTTGAAAAGATGCAGATCGCCACGATAAAAGCCAAGTGCCTGGTTTTTCACGGGCTTATATCCCCTGTAAAAAATATTATACTTAAGGATTTCGTTCATCTTTATTGGCTGATCCGTAGTTATCCTAATTTTGCTTGAGCTGGAATGCGGGGCAAAGCCACTGTATTTTCCCCCCACTGAAATCTCATCTCGAAAAGCTAATTCTGATATTGAGGATAGAGAGCATTTCCAAAATCCCAGTGTTTCGGAGAGATTTATTGCAGAGTTCTTGTCTCGTTTACTTGATAGGTACTTGATATGCTTCAGACATCTGCCTTCTGCAAGGCTATAGCGGTTGCCTTTCAGATTCGAATTTTCCTTGAACATTACTAAGCCTTTGACCACCGAGCTCAGAATCTCAGCAATGGGAATATCCTGCGAGCAATATTTTGCTTGGTAAAAGCCGTAATGTGGAAGATCGCCAGTAATAGTGACCCGATGGGGACTTGTATCAGCCTTGGGAAAAGTGCAAGGTGATGGAGGATGATAGACGCCATAAAAAGGGAGACTTTCGCCACTCGTAATGACCAGTCTTTCGGCACGAAAGAGATATGGTGGGTAGCACGTAAGAAATGCATAAATACAATTCCTCATTGTCTGTTAACTGGAGGTATCCCTATATTTATTAGGACAATATCAGCTTATCAGATTCAAGGGGACTAAAAGGTAATACGGCTCTCGAAGGTTCATTAATTAAATGAGCTGTTTCTCCTACGCTGACTATGATCAATAGTCATCATTTATAGTCCGCCATCCATCAAAAGAAAGACTAAGGCAAGAAGCCTGGACTGCGAATTTCGCTTCATCCATCGTTCGAAATTTAATACTCCAGTAGCGTTACCTGCGAAGTCTCGGTCTATTGGTAGGGATCGAGTCATGTCGGCTTAATCAAAGGTTACATGGTAAGCATCTTTGAGGGGATGGCTACCCGCCTCAATGAGAAGTATGGTTAGTAAAAGTTGTGGGATTTAATGAGATCACATCTGCCATTTTGATTTGATTTTATTTGATTTAACCTGATCCGTCGCCCTATGGGCCCATAGAGGTGGCTAAAAACATGTCTAGATATTTATGTGAAAGATTTAATCTGTCCATAACTCCGAGCTTGATGATGGCCAGCAAGACGAAGAATATCATGACCTTTCATTTAAGATAAAAGGGCGAAAAGGGCATTAATTAGAAAATAGAACCGATATAGTAAGCGGTGACTAGCTCGGAGTAGGTATGGGCATTGTGAATGTAGTCGGAAGCATCATCAGATTTTAATTGCGTATGCAGCTACCTAGCTATGAGACAATATCAGAGAAATGTATAATAGATGACTCAATTTACAAGAGCACTCATGCCTCGGATTTCATTTGCGAGTACCACTGCGAAGTTATGCCGGCTTTTTCTTCACCCCAAGTCAACCCTCATCTGTGAATACCCACGCAGGGGAACGCCTTAAAAACCCTGAGTTATCCAGACATGCCTCCATCATCTTTCAACTTTTCTCCGCGCGAAATATGGTCTTAGGCGTCTCCTTCCCCGGTGGAGTAGGTGCCTAAGCTACTCAAATTATACTAGATTACACCTCCAGGAGCCAGAGTTGGTTTGTTTTTGTATTTTCAGCTACACTTTCACAATAGAAGGCTTGACGCATATAGTACTCTTCGATTTATAAAATTCCCTGCCAAAATTCTAAAATTCACACTAGTCGAGATAGTATGCATCATCTGCATTACTTTGTGAACTTTTTCTGATCTCTCTCACGTCCTTTCCAAAGAACTGTCTCCTAGATTTGCGGGCCACGCTTTGCTTCTTCCGTCGGGTATAAATATGTCTTCGTGGGCGTAAATTTGGTAACGAGCTGAGGCCAGAGAATTGTTGACAAAAGGTGTGATTATTGGGATGAGGATGTAGTTGGTCGTACTCGTGGACTTGATGAGACTTAGGAGTCAAACTCATTGGGAGTTAAAATTTGACATGGAGTAATTTGAATCTTTGCCTTGTGGGTCAACTTTTTGAGTATTGCGAAATTCGACTGAAGTTGGGTCGGAGAGAATATTTCACTCCCAGGTTCGTAGAGGACACCGCGTACTGGTTTTCAGTCTTGCCCTCCTTTACAAAAACTATTTCGCTTGGAACAACGCCAGCTAATGCTAAATAATACGCTTTTAAAGCTGATAACGTGACACGTACTTGAAGACCAGATAAGACTTTCGTCGGAAACAAATTATTTGAAGGCAATAATTTAGTTAGGTTTGGAATATTCTATCATTGACTCATAGGCAGACTTCTTCGGTATCGCGAAAATTGAATGAGCTTGGCCATGATAGAATATTTCTCAACCAGATTCGAAGAAGATTCTGCGAATAGGTGTCCAATCTTTGTCCTCCAAGCCGTAAATAAATCGACAACATAAGTCCTGCCTAATTAGCCGAAACATTGGCCTTGGCGCCCAAAAGCTTCTCAAATTCGAAACCCTCCCGAATCTGTCTGTTCCAGCATGCTCTACAGTTATATACTCTCTCAATTTCTCATTCCAAACCTAATCGGCTGTGCCTCTCCAAGTTGTATAGCCCCATTAGAGCTAGTGCCCCCCACAAACCAGGACCCAAGCTTTGTATATTATGGCTGAATTCTTCTTTACGGGTACAAGCTCATTTGATTGGAGTGTGCAGTGGTACACCTTCTGGGCGTTTCTCCCAAGTAGATTCTGGGAAGCTTGAACACCTACCCAATTGGAGACAGGAGAAAGCTGGTTCGAATCCAGTAAGGCCCATACACCACACTCGCTAGCGGTGTTAATGTATTCTTTGAACGATGAAAGCATACCCGGATAATTATGTGGTTTTAAGGCTTTTCCGCGTTCTGTGTTCACATGGAAAAGGATGCATACCGTAAGAGTTAACTTTGTGTGGTATCTGCAAATGAAATCTGAACGAAGTGTTATAAACTCCAAAATGAGTCATTCCATGGAAAATATATATATTCCAAAATTACCTGCATGGGCCTTCATAACGTCAAATCAGTATAATCAGATAGTTTATTTGAACTACAATGCACGTTTTGTAGCACCGATGCGAAAGGACGAAAATGGGGGCATAAGAATAAGTGGATACCAGAAAACATTTGTTGAATAAGTTCATGAGGCTGATCCAATTTGCAGGCTACATATACGATCTGTTGTATGTCGTAAAACTAAATAGTGCTATAGGTATAGTAATCCCCTGTTGACTGCTAGATTTGTACATATATTGGCTATACTGTGCGGCCGCACATCCGACACTTGTCGGTAATCAGTCATCCCGCTCCGATCTCCGGCTCCTCTTGGCAGTATTCTATTGACGAGGTGAAGCGCAACGAATAGAAACATGTTCGCAATAATGTAGCTGTAAAATTCATTGTGATACTTTCTAGTAGATATCAGGAAATGTAAAAATGGTTATTCAATGGCTAGCTTATTTGCAGCTGTGTTTAACCTATCTTATCTCTCTCATATGATCTGGGTAATCCATCGTATACACAAAAAAGTGACGCGCTCAAATTGCGAAGAAAGTAGGCCGCGTTCTACTACATGGGTCGTGATTATTTAAAATACACGATACTAAGGAGGCCCATGCCACGGGGATCCGGGCGTCCTAATCAAGTAGGCTTCGCTGGTGTGGCAAGGTACCGTAAAACACAATCGAAACAGCTTGTCTGCTTAGACAAATAGATGTCAATTCGTGATCGCCCATGCCGAAAACTGGCCTTTGATGAAAGACTCAGGACTCAATAGAACTTGGTTATTCGTGATTGGAAACTGACAAGCCCCTCTCAACTACTCTCTGGATAAAAATCGTAGCGCAAGTCTCCATCCCTCCCCGCGCCGGAGTTCTATGATCCCACCCCTCGAAATTCCAGCGAACAAAACCTCACGCCCCTCAAGCATCATTGCTAGCGCAATCAGCCTTGTTCATTATTCCTTAATCAACATTTACCCTTTACAATTCTATAGCAGCGCCTGCTTCAATTCTTTATTATCCTTACCGAATGGCTGGACGCTTTGTGCGCGCGTCGAAATATCGTAGGTTCTACCTGTTGTTGATAGCAAAGTTAGCAGCACCATCGAGTTAACAGTCCAATTCAGGACATGTGTTCGGAAAGCCGACAAAGAAAGAGTTTTGCTACGATAATCTGCGTATAAGCCGTAATGCCTGGGATACAAACATTATCAAGGTGACAATTTCAAACTATCGGGATGAAGGCAAATGCTCATGATTGAATAGGCAAACCCAGAGTACCTTTCCGTCAATTGGGAAGCTGGTGGCGGGGGAGCATTTGCGGTTATTCCCGTATCTGAAAAAGGCCGGCTTCCAGAGCACATTCCTCTTTTCAGAGGTCATACTGCACCAGTGCTGGACACGGACTGGTAGGTAGGAAGCTAATCAATTAAATAATACCATTAACCTTCCTAGGAATCCGTTTAATGACCATTTAATAGCTTCAGGCTCGGAGGATGGAAAGGTCTTTATTTGGCAGGTCCCTAAAGACTTTACCCTCTACATCGACCCCGAAGAATCAGCAGAAGTTGAGCCAGTATGCAAATTTGCAGGGCATTCAAGGTACTCACAGCCATTGATAGCATGGGAGTTTACTGACACTTTGTAGGAAGGTTGGACAGGTCCTCTTTAACCCTGCAGCTGAGAACATCCTAGCATCCGCCTCTGGAGACTATAATGTGAAGTTATGGGATGTTGCTTCCGGAAAATCCTACCTAAGCTTGAAACATCATGAAATCGTACAGAGTCTCTCCTGGAGCGCGAATGGATCGATGCTGGCTACGACCTCCCGTGACAAACAGCTACGAGTATGGGATGTCCGACAGGAAAATCCCGTCTTTTCTGTTCAAGGTCATAACGGCGCAAAGAATAGTCGAGTGGTCTGGATGGGTGAACATAATCGTCTAGCAACGACCGGATTTTCGAAGATGAGCGACCGCCAGATGGCTTTATGGGACGTTGGGAACCCAAGCGAGCCTATTGGTGGATTTTCACATCTTGATTCCATATCTGGTGTTTGCATGCCGTTTTGGGGTAAGAAATTTATCAATTTTAATTTTCTACTGCTAATCAAACTGTAGATGACGGGACCCAATGCTTGTTTTTGGCAGGAAAAGGCGATGGAAACATTCGATATTTTGAATATGAAAACGACAAGTTTGAGTTTCTTTCTGAGTACAAATCTCCGGAGCCCCAAAGAGGTATTGCTTTTGTTCCAAGGCGCGGTATTAATGTGAGCATCCCTTATAAAGCTACGATATTCTTATTAACTTTCCTAGGTTCATGAGAACGAAATCATGCGAGCTTACAAGACCGTCAATGATACATATATTGAACCTATATCCTTCACAGTTCCAAGACGAGCCGAAGTATTCCAAGCAGATATTTATCCACCTGCGATAGGTCTAAAACCAGCACTCTCTGCCTCAGAATGGTTGGCGGGAAATGACGGCATTCCCGCAAAAATTGATTTGGAAAGCATATACGAAGGAAATGCTCCGGTTGAAATCTCATCACAGTATGTACCACCGACTGTAGTGTCGGTCCCAGCTACACGAGCGATTTCCGTGGGCGCAAAGGATGAGCCCCAACTTGCATCTCAGAAGAAAGAACCTATGCTAGAACAGAAGGTGTCCATTTCTGCCATTGCCTCCAAATTTCAGGATGACGTCACCACTTCGGATGATGAATCCTCAAGCTTTAACAATACATCAAAACCCGGCCCCACAACGGGTACTGACGATAGTAAAGAAACCAGGACTCATTTATCTGCAGTAACCTCTTTTACTAAAGCCACACCCAAAAATGTTGAAAATGAGTCGCATAATATACCAAATCCTATCCAATCTAAACCAGAAGACAAAACAAACTCTAATAAATCTGACAAAGATCCCTCCTCTGATAAGGACCTTCAAAGCTCGCTGGCTCAAATAAAAGACCTTTTGCAAACGCAAATCCAGACAATAAATAGCCAGAGCCAACAAATAGGTCGTTTGGCGCAAGAAGTCGATACATTAAAAGCTAAGGTTGGTTCGGGGTCGCAGGAGCAGAGTGAAAGAATTCAGCAATTGGAACGAGAGTTGGAAGCTACGCGAACCTAAATCTAAATAAGTTTTAAGTACAGCCTAAACGACAGCACTACGGCCTCGTCGAATTTCTGCAGCGAACTGAAGTCCGAATAGCAAGAAGTTCAATTTAACGAGTTATAATTGGGAACGGGTATGTGAGGAAAGGCAATTATTGTTGGGGTCTTCAGCACTGGGTAATAAATTCAACAAAGCACAATTAAAGGTGCAGTGATTAAAAAGTGCCACGACTTAGATAGCCAATCAAACTCTGTTCTATTGACAGTTAGCGATACATCTCGTGACATGTATTCTGCAATATTTCTGACCCGTCCCTACTAGCGAGCCTTTATCGACAACCAAAGTGCTGATCATTCATCCAAAATTGACTGCTCTTCCCCCATCAATTACACAAATAAAACCAAAAATAAATGCATGGTATGAAGCCCTTGTGTCTCCATACTCGACTCGAATTAAATTCGAATGCTCAAACCCATTTGAAGTCATAAGTCTTTATCAGCCTAGGCTTGGCTTTCCACTTGCTGCCTTTACAGGACATGGTGATTCCGAAGATCACTATCGTCGCTCTCAGCACGAAAGTTACCTCCTGTCGGTGAAAGGATCATATTTGTGAGTTGCGAATTATTCCAAATAATTGCGGTATTCAAGTTGTCGTTTGAACCCTGACAGGGATCTAACTTAGCTCACTAGCGAGGCGTTTCGAGGAGAGTGAGAGATAACAATACAAGTATTTAGAGATACCACTCAATAACTTTATTTACCGACTTCGTGATGGCACCTAATTTACATTACTTAGTGTTATATAAATAATTCTCTGACTCTTACTTGCGAGCAGGAAAAGCCATTCGACAAATTATATTACCCCGTTCGAACCAGAGCAGAGCTCGCGCTCAGGCTTCATCCTGGCACGCAAGTACCGAGAGTGGGTACTCTGCGTGGGTCTTGTTGGTTATGGGACAGCCAGCTATTATCGCGAATGAACCTAAGCGAATTTTACAGACCCTATTTTTTTTTTTTTTTTATCATTTAATGTGTATTCAGCTACAAAGCTATGACACATGACCGGTGCTATATATACACGTTGGATGACTCTTTTGACGTTAGAGACACTCATACTCTGGATTTCATTTGCAAATACCACTATGAGGTATGCTTGCTTACACAAACAGTCGACCCTCCTCCGTTAGTACCCACCAAAGGGAATCTCAAAACCTTTGGTTATCCAAGCATGCCTTCGTCATCCATGTGCACCAGCGCCGCGCGAAAAGTGGTTGTGTTTTGCCGGATTTGAACCAGCGATCTACTGTCTCGAGTGGGATATGTGTCCAAGCTATCCAGACTTTACTTGGCAGACCAGCCAAGACGATGTACCACTGCACCATCCAACCATGGCGATGTTTATAGTGTCGCCTGCACTCTCGCAACCGAAGTCTTGGCACGCACAAAGCTCAATTTGTAAAAACTCCTTTCCAAATTTCAAAATTCCATGCCCGTCGAGACTGTATCCATCCTTCGCATCATCTTGTGAACTTGTCCTAAATCCTCTCACGTCCATCCCAAAGAGCTATCTCCCAGATTTGTGCTCCACGCTTTGCTTCCTCCGTCGGGTGTAAATATCGGCGTGGGCGTGTATTTGGTGACCAGCTGAGGCCAGAGAAAGTCGAAGAGTGGTGTGGTCATTGGAATGAGGATCTACTAGGTCGTACTTGTAAACTTGATGAGGCTTAGGTGGGATTCGATCTTTTTTGGAATGAAAATTTGACGTGGTGGAGTTATTTGAATCATTGCCTCGTGGGCCAACTTGTTCGGTATTGCGAAATTTGACTGAACTTGGCTCTGGGAGATTATTTCACTCCCAGGTTCGTAGAGAGCACCACTGACAGGTGTTCAGTCTTGCCCTCCTCACAGACCCTATTTGGGGGTATGGCCCAGAGGGTGTTCCACTGTGCCATCCAACCCTCCCATCTACCACCATCCGCTGAATTTGCAAAGCTGTTAAATGCATTGCTCTTAATTTCCCTTCTCCAGCATCTTCTAAGGAAAAAAACGTTGAGAGAAAGGATGAGAACACTTCTGGCTATATCTGACATTATCAAAATGTTTTAGTCAGGCAAATAAGGTAATCGGATAAAGAAATCCATGCTAAGCCTGTTTTCATTGCGACGCAGTATTATGATTATTTTGGGTGTCCAGGGAAAGAGGATCACGATGCCCAGCACCATGATCTATAATTTATGTGTAATTATCTCTCTTTTCAATTTCTCCCGTACCGTGAGGGCCGGTCATGGAGGTAGATCTGGAAACCAAAAGTTCCATAACGCGTGTCACGCCCGATGGGCGAAGGGATTTCCTGTCATATTAAAGGTACCGAACCAGATTAAATCAATTCTAAAAAAGCAAAGATCACCCGACATTTATGACAGATCAATTATTATAAATTCATTTTATTGTCCTGTCGGAATCTATGGCTATAGAGGACATGTAGGACCTCTCTGCCTACAGGCCAAGGATACCTATGCCAATAGTAAATCCCCTCCTATGCCTCCCACATAGCTCCTCTCAAACAGTACCGCCCCTCACAAGTCTTAATTCGATCATACACTAAGAGGAGCCCTTAGCCCTTCATTATCTCCCCTCTCCAGCCAACGAAACGATGGCCATTTGTGAGTGTATAGTAGCCGGGAAAAATCGCAAGAGCCACTGGGTGCGGAGCTCTCCTAATACAGAGATGAGGATTAAATCCGAAGACATACTGACCCTTCTGTAGTGTTCGAAGAGGCCGGCCAGCTAGGCGCTGTAGACTTGTGAGTACCTCGAGAAATCCACTCTCTGCCTTTCTAGCCTCCTTCCCTAGGTCGTGCTGAAATGTCAGAAAAGTCTTGACAGTGCGTGTTTGCTGTATGGCAGCTTAGCCCAACTTCTTTTAAACTGTCCAGGACTCTAGGGAGTACCGTTGACCTAAAGCCGAAAGAAGTCCTGGCTAATTAGCCGAAATCTTGGTCTTGGCGCCCACAAAAAATCCAAAGTTGAAAACCACTCGATAATATCGGTACCAGCATTGTCTTCAGAGACTTGTTCCCCCTCTCGCATCACATCTCAGCAGCCTGTCCCTCCTCAAGATGTATAACCTCATTAAAGCATTAGTCACCTTAAATCAAGTCCCCAAATTTGTATATTATAACTTGACTTCCTCCTTGTGGGTGTGCGTAGCGTCGTAAATTTGTAGTGAGTGATGGCCGTTAATAAACGAGGTAAGCTCCTGTTTGTAATTGGGGTGACGCTTTTATCAGTCGTTGAGGCGAGATGATATGTGGTTAGAGAGAGGTTGAGGACTCAGATGATAATGGTAAGAGAGGCATTGTTGAGAAGTCGTCAAATGGAGATATGTTTGAGGTTACTTTAGACTTCGATTCGAATGCGATTCTTCTTGGCGATGCCAGATATGCAGAGCAAACTGGGCGATTAGACCGGCACTACGGGAAGGTAAAGAAATGGTCTCTACCGGCTGGTCGTGATTTTGTTTACTCATAATGGAGTTATGATATGATATTATTTTTATCGTGACCGTGTACTACTCCAGCACCTAGAGGGCATGGCGCGGGTAGTCTTGATCTATAGGACTCTTCGCTACCTATATTTTTGTTTCTTTTTTTTTGCATCAGATTTTAATTGCGTATGCAGCTATCTAGCTATGACACAATATCAAGGAAAAGTACAGAATAGATGATTCATAGTTAAGGAAGAGCACTCGTGCCTCAGATTTCATTTGCAAGTACCACTGCGAAGTTATGGTGGCTTTTTCTTCACCCCAAGTCAACCCTCATCCGTGAATACCCACCCAGGGGAACGTCTCAAAAACCCTGAGTTATCCAGACATGCCTCCATCATCTTTCAACTTTTCTCCGTGCGAAATTTGGTCTGAGATATCTCCTTCCCAAGTGGAGTAGGTGCTCAGGCTACTCAAACCATACCGGAGAACACCACCAGGAGGCGGACCACAACACCTTCCATCGTTTGCTTGTTTTTATAGTGTCAGCTGCACTCTCGCAAGCGAAGTCTTGGCGCGCACAGAGCTCAATTCGTAAAACTCCTTGTCAAAATTCGGAATTTCACCCCCTTCGAAGTTATATCCTTCCTTCGCATCATCTTGTCAACTTGTCCTGATTCCTCTCACGTCCATCCCAAAGAACTGTCTACCAGATTTGTGCACCACGCTTTGCTTCCTCCTGCGGGTGTAAGTATCGGCGTGGGCGTGTATTTGATGGTCGACTGAGGCCAGAGAAGGTCGAAGAGAGGTGGGGTCATTGGGATGAGGATGTACTTGGTCGTACTTGTAGGCTTGATGAGACTTAGGTCGGATTCAAACTCGTCGGGAGTGAAAAAAGGACGTGGAGGAGTAATTTTAATTTTTGCTTCGTGGGCTAACTTCTTTGATAATGCGAAATATAACTGAACTTGGCTCTGGGAGAATATTTCACTCCCAGGTTCGTAGAGGACACCGCGTACAGGTGTTCAGTCTTGTACTCCATACTTTTATTTCATAGAAACTAGGAACGCAAAACAAAAATAACAAATTATATCACCATTTCTAAGTGTTACAGGCTGCGCCTATCTCCTAGTGACTGTCGCACGGACACTTATCATTATTACGTCATTAGCCTTGCTATCTAAAGAGATGTCCAACTTGGCCATACAAATACAGGGTTGCAACAAATATGGAAACAAGATATTGTTGCAGCAAGTCTCATATGGAACCATGGGCCGATACGACCCAGATTCGCTATGACGAGCCCATCCGGAATATCAAGGATATGGTGTAGTAGAATAGATAGTGAGGTTAGTGCATTGGGAGTTGGGACACCTTAAGTAGCCTCCCCTCGGTGGACAGTTCCAAGATGTATGTAGAAAATAGACAGTTATTGGCCACCATTCCTTTACTATATTGTTTTGTTGATCGCCCATCACACTAAGGTGCTGATGCCCTGCACTGCACCTTAATTCTCGTACAACGCCAA